TAGGTGAGGTTGAAATAAAATTTAGAGATAATAGGAGCCTAATGAAAAAGAAACGACAAATACAAAAGAAAACACAGGCGGTTTGTTAGGCTATTTTGATTTCCTGTGGAAGCTATGGCTCCAGATTGCTATATTAAAACTTGCTGATATTGGTCAAGTTTTAATAGTCAGTCTTATAAATAAAGTTCTCAAAAAGATACATTATAAAATAAGGAGATATAATATGATTGCCAATGAGACAACTATCCACCAAAGTCAAGATGACGTAGATTTATGCAACTATATGTCACCGTACAGCCTTCAACAATGAGTAAACGCAATACCATATAGTCAGCTTAAAAAGGTTCCTACATGACAAAATGTGAAACAAATCAAACGAAAAACCAACGACCTGATTATGACAAAACAATAAACAATAAACAAATAGGTCTGACAGCAACCAACGCCAACCACTGAATTACAGGCTCCTGACTTGTAACAGGCACTTACAGAATGTAGCGGGGTTCAACATAATTGATGGTGTTCAACCCTCCCCTAACCTGAACAGTGGTGTAACAGCACAACATAAGAACTAATTGTAACAATAAGTTGGAAATGGCTTGACTTATCAGATTGGTTGTAAGCATAAAAAAAAAACACAAGTACCCATCTAAGAGTACTCACAGTTACTGAGCTAGTTCAAAGCCAATAACAACTAATAAATGAATTGTGTTCTGTCAGACTAAGATATCAATTAGTACACATTCAACGAATTTAATGCACAGACGTCATAAACAGTTTGATAAAACTTGACCTTGTGCGATGCAAAAATATAAGTACATAATGTCGACTGAAGGACCATCAGTTTTCATAACTCTAAAGAGTTATACATATTTAGTTATGTTTTAATTTATCAAAAACAAACTGGCAATATACAACTGGAAAAGAATATGGTAACAATTTAAGCTTAATCCATGCAGTAATACAACATTGGCAAAAAATGGGTAAATTTTGTTGATGATGCAGAAAATATTTGTTTTTTCAAACTATCTTGTTGCGAAATAGAATTAGTTTGCTTCATATCTATTTTCAGAAGAAGAAGAAGTTTTATTCGATTAGGCTACATATTATTAATGCAAACGTGAATGAATAAGGCATGACTTAACGACATGCCAAAAAGATGAATAAGTTTTGAAACACCTTTAATGATTGAGAGAAAATGTACATGAATCAAAGTTCACATTGTATACCAGTTAATAACCGCTGTGTCATTTTTTTCATTTTATCAGATTTTTGGATGAAGTCAACCCGACATGCCTTTGAAGAAAATATTAAATTGGTGCAGTTTTCTACACGTTGCTCGACAAGTCTTGACAGCATTAAGGTGGATTGTGTGTTAAAAAAAAATGTTAGCTTGAAAAAAAATTGATATATCCTTGTTAATGAAAGTTAAATGAACTTAATTTAACCAACTGTTCATCGTATTAAGACGTCTACAACTTTATCTTATAGCTATTTATTTTTACTTATACAGGGTATGCTTTTTTTTTGTCGTTGTAAATAATTCATTTCAAAGGGTATGGAACCCCAATGATTTTATTAAAATGCTTTATGTTATCACAAGATTTCACTGTAAATGTGTCTGTTTTGCTTCATGGGAACAAAACTAAATAGGTGAAAATATTCACAGAAAGTGATCTCTTCAAATGAAATTCTTAAAATCTTTTGTGCAATTTTTCGTTTTATTCAAATACAGTTGTAGTGCCGTTGTTATGTAGTTGTTGAAATCTTATTAAAAACATATACAGGGGAACTTTATCAAAACATATACAGTTGGAACTTTATCAAAAACATATACAGGGGGAACTTTATCAAAAACATATACAGTTGGAACTTTATCAAAAACATATACAGGGGAACTTTATCAAAAACATATACAGTTGGAACTTTATCAAAAACATATACAGGGGAACTTTATCAAAAATATATACAATTGGAACTTTATCAAAAACATATACAGGGGAACTTTATCAAAAACATATACAGGGGAACTTTATCAAAAACATATACAGGGGGAACTTTATCAAAAACATATACAGGGGAACTTTATCAAAAACATATACAGGGGAACTTTATCAAAAACATATACAGTTGGAACTTTATCAAAAACATATACAGTTGGAACTTTATCAAAAACATATACAGGGGAACTTTATCAAAAACATATACAGGGGGAACTTTATCAAAAACATATACAGGGGAACGAACTTTATCAAAAACATATACAGGGGGAACTTTATCAAAAACATATACAGGGGAACTTTATCAAAAACATTTACAGGGGAACTTTATCAAAGTCAAGGTTCTATTAGGAACTGAATTTCTGATTTTGAAATTGTGAAGTAGTAAAGCCATAACAAATACAATAAATACATATTTTGATGAGCATACGTCTTGCTACTGTAAACAAATGTTTTATTGCGTACTCACAGCATAGTTGGTTTCTAAAGACTGGATCTCAAAATGAGTTAAAACATTTTCCAACCCAATCGTTACAATTAACATAGACTGCAGTTAACTACAAACAAAGGTCATTGTCTTATGCCTTAGTAATGCACTATCAATAAGATCGAGTTACAAAGTGTCAATCATTTACGGATAATAAATCATCATTTACAGCGACATGTGCCAAAGTAGAAAAATGCAGATATATTGCACCAGAAACATTCGATTACTCGATCCGAAAATAGAACAACTAAAAAATTTGGGTTCATACTTTTCAACAGCATTTTATGATGTCATAGAAAATAGTATGACGCTGATTTCCTTGACACGTGTTTCTGGAATAACATGCATCAGGTTTGATGTCAACATTTTGGAAGTCAAAAGATAGGAAATCTGAGGAAGTAGAACCAACCATGGATCTATGAACCAACATAGCCTTTAACATGTTTAAAAAGGCTTAAACAGAAGAAACCAAAATCATCCAAAGTCAATTTTGTCCGACAAAGTTGCAATCTAAGTTTTAGTACAATTATATATATCATAAGCTGTATTACTTATAAATCGATTACTTCTTTATCCCTGATATTATGTAATATGATCGTGGTATGTACCAAGTAATATGTAAACTCCAACGTACCGTATGTATGCAATGTCAGCCTTATTTTGTCTCGAACATGTTCAAAATAAATGTATCATGTTACAATTTCTCATGTAAACACTATACTTTTTAATGCAGTTACTTCAAAGATTTCAGCAGATTTTGTATTGAATCTTTAAAAACATTCGCGAGATGATGGACTCTTTATTAGTGTATACAAAACATATATTTAAATTTAAGTTTACTTTTATAACATGCCTAACATAAATAAAAGATTTGAGAGTTTTATCAGGTGTATCGGCAGGTTTTAATTTCTCTCATGTCGATTCGAATTGCAATCATTAGTCTATATACGGATATAAATCGATTACAGTTGTTTTAGGTTAGACAAATATACTGATGTTGAAACGAAAACAATCAATCAAAGCAATTAACAGGACTTGGTTAAGTCAAACCTAAACTTTTTAATAGTGTGAAAAAAATGTTTACACAGTAGATTAGAGATATTCAGTTGGAGGCTTTACTGCGTCGCATGGTTGATATTTCTGATTTACGTTATGGAATCCTTTGATGATTCGTTTTTAGGAGATTTTATTTCTTGCAATTAGTAGACCTGTATCGGAATCAAGAATTATAAACTTTAATGTAAATGAATGGTGCAAAAAAAATGTATCACCAGCTGTGTCGAATCCATTCATAGGCTGATCAAATAAAAATCAAAAGTGAAATAATTATTGTAACGAATGCAGTATTACAATTTACAATTACTATCAGAATTAACAAGGGGTCAAACAAATTCCATATATATATAATGAGATGATAAAGTACTTAACTGCACTAGAGACTTTGAACGATTTAAAAGAGACTAGGTTAATCGAAACTTATCAAATTCTTAAGTGAAAACATAGACAATTGTTTTATTCATTTTTTTTTCAGAAGCAATTAAGAAAACATAATTATATAAAAAAAAAATGATTCATTCGAAGCACTTTTGTGGAATAACTGTCACCAGGAATGCATTGGTCTAAATGTTTGAAAAGCTAGGTACATGATGAATTGTATAATCTAAACGTTTATGTAAGCCTTGTCTAACGAAGCCGAAACCTTTTTTTTTTTTGTGAAACAAATGTATTTTCTGCAAATTTATCAAAATGTATCATAACTTTTTTTTAATTAGATGGAACATTAGTTTATCGATGAACAAACGAGTAACCTTTACTAAATGCACATTTAAAAGAGATGCAAAAAATACCAAAGAGATTTGCAAACTTGTAAGTCGAAAACAACTGACAATAACATGGCAACAAACGAAAAACGACCAAAAGACAAACAATAGTATACAAAACCCAACATAGAAAACTAAAGACTGAACAATACGAACCCAACCAAAAATCGGGGGTCATCTACAGTTAAAAGATTACATTAAGAAGTTATACAGGTTAAAAATTGGACAATGAGTACCTGAAGGCACACTTTAAATATTTTAATGAGTATAACGATGATTTCCTTCGTCCATAAAGTTCAGTACTAGTAATTTAACGTTACGGGATATACGGACTTATCTGAAGAACGAAATCATTTGACGATAGTTAGGCATATTACATGGGAGTACCAATTAACAATTGTTAAACTTCATTTGAATGTTTTTAAGAAACATTTGATAATTGTAAGAGCTACTTGTTAATTGTTACTTCAGTTGATGAATTTATCTGACCATTATATAATGCTTGATATTTTAAAACGAGTACAAGTGATCAAATATGATAGTATGATACATAGTAGTTTCCTATAGAAATGACAAAACCATAACATTCCAGGTGACAATTTATGTTACGTACTATGACATTTAAAATTAAAAAAAAATAAATGTGTATTGAAATTTAATAAAAATATTGGTATTTCTATACATATTTTTTACCTTCTAATGCATCACAATCCCTGAATAGGTTACCATACTCTTGAAATAATACCACCATCCCTCCTTCTAATTCGGACGTTATAATTGAAGACTTTTGTTTCTGCATACTTGTGTTTTCAGTGTCGAGTCTGAAAAAGTTGCTGACAAATATTGGCGGTTGATATAAAGTTTCTTGTTGCAATAAAGGCTCCTTTTCGTTGTTGAACTTTTTGATATTTTTTCTTTTATACCAAAGCAGAGTATAAGATTTTGTATCACGAGGTAACATAATTTCAGCGTTTTTAGTTTGATATAACGTTGAATTTAATAAAGTTGAATTAAACCCTCTGTATTCCCAATAGTCAGTTGTCATTGAAATAATTAATAAAACAGTTACATTTCCTGCAAATATCAAGCTACTGTAGTTACAAATTTTCACCATCACAATTTAAATCCAAAACCGTGATGACGTTTTTGACACACATAATCCTGGATCAGTGTCTAGTAAAAATATGACTTCATTACAGCAATGCATCCATTTAAGTGCTTTCTGATCATACAGCTAACAATGGAATAAACAAATGTTTTCCGCCTCTGATAATAATATCTTAAAAGATTTTATAAATTGAATTTGTTTAATTGTAAATCAGTAACTGACAACATTCAAACGTTAACAACTAAATAATTCACACTGTCCCGTTACACTGTAAGCTGTTCGGAACAGTCAATTTTGAGTGTCGATAGAATTACTCTTCAGGGAAATTCTTTGCATTGTCACATTATGGTTCAAGCTTATTAAAGAATTTACCATCGCGTTATTTAGGGTAAACCTATTCTCTGTTGTGAATGATTTTATAAAACAATAACCAATATTCGCAGCGGACATGTAGATTGTGGTTTGAATCAATGATTATCATAGAAATCCAGTGGTTTATTGATATCTCAGGAATATATCAGTCTATTATAAAATAATGTGTGAGAAAGATGAAATATGTAATTGAATTTACCCCTCTTGTTTTCTTACTCGGTTGTAAATCACTCTGTACAAGACAAGGTTTGCTTGGGTTTGCGCTGTATTGTAACTAAAAATTGTATTTGCTTCCTTATTAAAACAAAAATCCTATCTTCGATGCCTCAAAAGAGATTGTCGATAGATCAAAAGATGTTAATAGACATTTGCTTAGTTTATGGAAATAGACAAACAAATTTGTTTCCCCACACAGTTCTGTCTGTGATGTGGTGTTTCTAATAACTTTTTATTACTTTATTACGTGGGATATGTACTTTAAATCATGTATACTTTAATATCAAATGCCCGTTAAAAGTTTGAAGATGGCAATACATTTGCTTACTGTTTTATTCATATTTAAGAAATGCATCTTTTTAAACTTTAAAACAACACACAAAACCGGTTAATGGTGCTTAATAAAGATGCTGAAAACTCGAAATTTCAGTATTGACAAAGCTTAGTATATCTATATCGCTGAAATCCTTTCTACTTCCAAAGTTTAAAAAGAGACGATCTTATTTTATGTTAAATCAGTGGCGTAGCTGAAGTGTAGCATTGTTAGCATGTGCTTGCAAATATTTTTTTCAATTTTCAATAATAATTTTACGATCGTTCAGCTTTAATTATTTACACACATACATGGGTCCGCAATGCTCTTCAACTTCGTACTTTAGTTGGCTTTGTTAACATTTTTATGATTCGAGCGTCACTGGTGTCTTTTTTAGACGAAACGAGCGTCTGGAGTACAAACTTTTAAGCCTGGTTTCTATGATGAATTTATATATAATATAATTTGAATATCATTTATTGGTGCAAAAATTTTCATCACTGGGAATGCAACATACAGACGAAATTATGAAATTGTGTTCGTACAAAAAAACAAGCAAGCAAACAAACAAACAAATAAAAATTACTAAATATAATTTGTAAGACGATATTGTTTTTCAATCCGGCCTTTGATGGTGTCATCGATAGTCACAACAATTCTCGCCTTTTCTTTCTATTATATATACATGTACGCTTTTTATTATTTGGTCTAGTTCAAAAGGTGTCCCGTGAATTGCATATATAACACTATCCATAATTGGCTTCAAATTGAAATACATAATGAAGATTTGTAAACAAGCAACCACTCTGACATTATGTTGTATTCAGATCATCTCCGTTACCAGAAAAAAAACCTTTTGTAAACAAGCAATCATTTTTTTTCTTACGCGGCAATACTCAACACCTTAGCTATAGCTTCCTGTAGTAAGGAGCAAACTTTGACTATGCTTTCCTAACTTAGTGTAGTCATTAATTTTCTTGTTAAAATTAGTTGTCATCCTTTTGGTAGCTGGACCGTGCAAGAGATTTGTGTTTTATTTTTACGACATGCTGTCTAGATAGACACACGCGGAGGTTTATGCGCAAATAAAATTGGTGTTACCCCATCGCATTTTGTGTCTGTACAATGTCAAACTGTTTGAACCTTAAGTTTTCCGATGTTGTTTAATTTTACCTCGCTCAATAAGATCCTTTTCCGGGTTTAGCTTTACTTTTGGTCCTTTTTGGTTACATATGTTTTTCAACGTTTGTATTTAGATTTGGATTTTCAAACATTTTGGCCTCGAGCATCACTGAAGAGATATTAATTGTCGAAATACACATCTGGTGCAAGCATCACTGAAGAGACGTTAATTGTCGATATACACATCTGGTGCAAGCATCACTGAAGAGACATCAATTGTCGAAATACACATCTGGTGCAAGAATGTTGGTACTGTTTAATGTTATTACTCCCACTGAGTCAATACTTTTCTCTGTGGACCGTTAGTACCCGAGGTAGCTCAGTACTTTGGTACTGTCATTTTAAAAAAAAACGGATATTGTTTCATTGTAATTTTGCTGTTATAAAACCTAGGAAATCATTCGAAATTGAGAAATGTGCCTACCTCATGCACAGCTTTGGTGTTAGTTTCGGGAACTTTTTATGATTTTACCTTTTCAGTTTTAGCTATACTTTTTTTTTAATTTTTCTTAAGTAAATGATGATGAAGACTTGTGTAAAAGTTGGGAAAGTCAAATGTTGTAATACTTTTGCATGAGGAAAGGGACTTTGATTGTATGTAGTCGTAACAGATCTTTGAATCTTGTAAACCTATTGATATTTACACCGCCTATAAAGTAGGTAGTTTCATAATACTTTTTACAGATAGTGTAGATGTCAGTAAGGAGAAGGTATTTTTGGAGTCAAATTAGCCCTAAAATCAGAAATTTTTGAAACTATATATATATCTCTGAATTTCAGAATCAAATTCTTAATTCTTAAATAAAATATAGCAGTTTTAGTTTAAGATGTACTATTTTTATAGGATATAAAGCCATAAAATGGCAGAAAATTCAGTGAAATACCAAAATTAGTACACTCATGACTATAAGACTGGAACATGCTTTGAAATAATATATTTTGGGCGACCCTTGTGCTGTCAAAATAAGCCTATTTGCAAAAAATCTTTAGCTTTTTAGGTCATGTTTTGTGATTTTTTTTTTTCTTTTTCGTCGTTTTTGTTTCTTGCCATAGCGTTGTCAATTTATCTCTACTTTTGAGTTTTTAATTTCCCTTTGGTATCTCCCGTCTCTTTTTTTCTGTTCTGCCAAACAAAATACACGGTATTGTTTGGTACATTGTCTGCAGGTACAGTAACATAACTGTAATAGAGAAAGGACATGCTTCAACAATAATCGCGTCATTGAAGATAGACAATGCATTAGTGTTCGTGTGACATTACGTTTTTCTGATTGTATATTAATCAACAATTAGACAACTTTAGCCCATTCACTTTCAGGTTTTGCTCAATGTCTGTTATAATCCTCGACAGAGCCATTAGAACTGCAAAATTATGTTTCCAATTAACGGATTAAGGTTGAAGAGTTTTAGGTCCTTTGGCTTAAGCATTTCATAGAAAGATTTTATTGACAATGTTAAGATCGCCTGTTATGATATGGTCAGCCGGTTTATACAAATGAATGGGGAACTTGTTTAGACTTGAAGTGGTTGTACCTCTTCTCCTCCTCCTCCCCATTAAAAAACAAATACTTTACAGATAAAAAAGAAACGTTAGCACTAAGGAGCAGTCTGGAAAAACTGAGAGCAATTCGCAATAACAGGAACAACTCTAGTTAAATTAAGACTAGTACGTACCAACTCAAATGAAAACGAAAAAAGGAAATCACCTACAAAGAACTGACCACTTTCAATAGGAATCGTGGAAAACTGATAATTTCAACGACTGGAGATAAAAATCAGAAAACTGAAATGAATAGATAGTTGGTTTTTTTTATGGAAAAGACGGATTTAGCTAGAATAATATTTTGACCGAGAGAGATTAGTATGCAAACAGTTCTACAAACTTGAGGAGCAGATGGTTGTACATGGAATCGCCTAGCTTCACGTTTTGAAATCTCATACCAAAAGCAATGGAAAATTATGTAGAGGAATGAAATCTTTAATTTTACATATTAATCATGAATAACATAAAGGTTTGAGAATTTGTTTTAACTATCACAATAACTTATACCTGTCCATTTACAACATCAACAATTCCCCTCGATGTTATTTTAAATTAGAAACAGAATCATATAACAAACACTGTAACAAATGAAAAAAAGATTTTATAGCACCAGCGAAAAGTTGTTACCATCACCGCTTCTTCTACCATATACACCGCTTTCAATGCCGCCGATATGCGAACACCTCCATCAAATTTAGGCAAAGACACTAACATATGTGTTTGTAGCATTTTATTTTCTATTCAATCAGTTTCTTGAAAAACGCCTTCCTTTTCCCGTTTTTTTTTCCAATAAACATTTTTCAATATAAGTCTTAATTGAATTTTATTAAGAATAATGAATTCTTGTTTAAATGGAAACTGTGTCTTCGTAGTATGGCTTTCTCGTCAGATCTCATTTTTCATTCACAATACACCGAATTTAAAGTAAAACATCATCATACAGGGCAAAGTGGACAGTTGCATTGTGCCAAATTACGCAGCATTTAAAAAAAACTCTTCTGTCACCCATTGTATTCAAAAGTATGATTTTGATTATATTGAAATTTACACCGAGAATATAAAAAATATACTTTTATATATCAAAATATATATAAATATTTATAAAAAATTTAAACAATTCTTCCTGCATACCGATAAATGTAAAATTGTTTTGATTCGCCTTTTCAAGATTTCAGATGATGAAAGATAGTTTTGTAAAGTATATTATACAGTCTACCAATATTATATAAGCTACAAAATTAATAATACAAAAAGTTGTCAATCATCTTTATACCTGAAGTATAACTTTTGTTCTTATTTTGTAGGCTGGGCGCCTGATAAGTAGCTTACTACGTCATATTTTCCGTATAAGAGCGGTGCTTTTACTTCATTTACGTATTCA